ATTTTTCAAAGTAAAGGTGAACTAAAGCCGTGGTATTTCTATAAAATACAATCATTATTATCTTCTACAAAAACATAAGAATTTAGAACAATATTCAAATTACTTACTACTAGTACTATTTTTGCATAGCCTAAGATTTTTATTGAAAGAAAGATAACATTCCAAGTCAAACTATACAGCCAAAAATTTATATCTCAGTTGGACGTTGTTGCTACAGTCTTCGCCATCATTGCATGTTGTAAAATAAGAAAGCATTTAAAGACATTTTTCTTACATCCTCAGGCAATTCATCCAACGATATTATAAAAAAAAAAAATTACAGGGGTTATGTGTTAAAATACGATGGTTTAAATTATAAGCAATTAAGAGGATTTAAAACTATACTCATAACAAACTTCTTCCTTTACTGAAGTTAACCATTCGTCATGTACAGAAGCTTGCATATGAGTCATACTGACTGTACCATCATCATCTATCCTAATTCCTCGTCTGTCACCTCTGTGTACCATTATTGAAAGCATACATCATTTAACCTTGTGCTAATAGAGGAGTCCATATATATATATATAGATGTATTGTCAAAAATAAGCATATCTTCGTCCGGTATGAGCAAAAACTCACTTCCACCACCTGACACACCCAAAATCATTTGTCGCTTGAATGTTTTCCCCCTTTTCTCCACGTGCTTCATGGATTTGATAACACGAGCATTATTTCTATGAAGGGGTACCCCATTCTCTCCTACATTTTCATTCGGGCTGTGACTGTTAGTATTGTTGAAAGGTATATAAATATATATTTCGTTTTTTTATTCCACTTCTATACACAAATATTCCTTGACATCGTTATACTTTATATTAAGTTCAGTTTTAGGCGAAGTGAAATTATTTCTATCAGGTTCATTATTAGATGTAACATCTGCTGTGATACTGGAGCTACTGCTTTTGACGTTGGGAGAGCTAAAATTTAATGCCTGAAGTGAAATATAGTGGTGTTCTGTGAGATGTCCGAGAATAATCATATTGGGTTGATTGACATCACCATTTTCAGCCGTGGAATGCAAAAACTGAGTTGCTTCTTCGCCTAAATAGGCACCACTATTAGGCCTATATCCACACCGTACAGTGAGGAAGCTGCCTGCAGTACAATATGGTCACCCCAGGATGTTCCTGCCATACCCTGGAGATAACCATTCTAGTCATTACCGGGTATGAAATTACTGTAATTCGCCCCATGTGCATTAGTGGGATGGATAAAAAGTTAACAATTTGTCCTCTAACGTCCCTGTGGGTGTACTTTGTTTTTTCATTAAATTGAGTTGGTGGGCTAAGCAGCGTAAAAAGCAATTTCCATCTTTTGGAGTTTCAGTGACCTCCACTAACCCCATGCTCAGAGCATTTCTTACTAAACAGTTATATATACTTTGCGATACTGGGTCTTGATGTTGTTCTAATAACCTCAGCTCTTCCCAAATGTCTTTTGAGTGATAGTAACATTTATCAAGTCCATGTTATTTTGGCAAATTCGTTTTTTTAGCACGACAGTTTCTGTAAAGGCATATGACAGATCCTAGCTTGACTTTTTTCTGCCGCTGTTGTTCGATATCTCTACTTAATGATGGTTTGTGGTCCACACGGTACCAAACTGGCTTCTCGTTGTCTAACTTTATTTTCTAACGATGGGTTTTATAATCAGCAGAAACAACGGTACATTGCGCCACCCTCGGTGTACAAAAGCCTTGTCCTCCTCTTTGCACTCTTCTGTCTTTTCGTTCCACAGCATCAAGTACAGAATCCCTTACTTGATAGTTTCGTTTGATTATCTGTTCTGCAAAAATTTCACTACTTTTTTTGCTTGGCTTCTTATTTTATGTACAGAATTCTCATAAGTTATAAAGTCATCCTCGGTAGGATAGAAATCCTCCTCCTCGCATTCACAGTATTTTTCAGCTTCGTTTGTGGAAACCCGATTACTGGCTCATTGGAATATCATTTTTTGGCGAGTAAATTTTCTACAAAATATTGATTTTCTCTCTTACTATTTTAAATCCGAAACTGAGGTGTCACTCCATGTCCAGACAGGTGTGTTACCTAATTACCACACAACTCTCGGAACAATTGATGCATGCAGTTGCATGTTCTGTGGTCAGAAATGTGAGGGTCGTCTTTTCGGCAATGTCTGATCTAGTATAAAAACGCATGGGTTTTGTCAATCTTTGGAGTGTATTTCAAGAAGCAACAAAGGGATCCCCCTGAAACTTGACAGGTACCTTAAAGAAGATATGGTTCGACAGCTAAGCAACGCAGCTTACTATGGGATTCTTGCTCTCAGAGAAAATGGCCATAAATGAGCAGCTATTGCCAGGCAATTCAACATTTATCAGGGGACAGTTAGTAAAGTCCTCCAAAAGGAACGCTACAACAAGCGCACCTACTCCAAGACGATTAGGCACCCCATATCGAGCTCGCAGAATCACTGCTTTTCTTCAAAACCAAGGGGTTCAGCAACTGCCCTGGCCTGCAAACTCCCCAGGCCTGCAAACTCCCCAGATACGAATCCAAATCTGAAAATCTGTGGGCGGAAGTAATTCGCAGAATTAATTGCTGAAGTCACCAGCCTGGGAATCGTAAAGAATTACGACAGGCAAATATCACTGCGTGGAATGATATCCCCATCCAAACTCTGAAAAACTTGTCACAGGGTATGTCATGTAGGGTGAGGGCGCTGCAAGCGGCTGCTGGAGGTCATACCCGCTGTTGATTACTTTTCATGATTTACTGTAATGAGTTCTTTGCCTGTGTAGCATATCACTGTCCGGAGGCTATCATTTTCTTTAATATCTTAGCTTAAAAATAATACTAACATCAAACTGTTGATATGGTTTTCTGGGGGTGTTCTTTTATTTTGAATGACATCTTATGTCAGGTTTGATATTATTGACCAAAATATCTTACAATAGAAAACTGGATATTTTTATCACTCATCGATATACTTTTTTGATAAATAAAGCCAAAAATATTAATCTGCACTCAAAAATAACAATCATAAAAATATTCCATACTTAAAAGTATTAACCCTGTAAGTTTAATCTCTGGATCACTATAGTTCGTGACGTTCCAGTGAACCTTTCGGAAATTCATATGTAAAACTCGCGGGAATAAACGAATCCATATAAAAATAAGAGCTTATACTAACTTGGAACGGGATAAATTACGCACCATCATGTGGGTGAGTAATGAGTCCCCCCCAACACACACACACACACACACACACACACACACACTCTTCCATGAATGTCTTTAGTCGCTTGGTCTCTAACAAGTTTCTTACCGGTCGCAAGCATTCAAAAAGATGTTGCTGGAAGGTTGCAAGCGACCGCAATAAAATAGGCGTAGGATGGTGGCCAATTTGGATGTAGACTATTTTTTCATATTTTGTCATGCCTGCCTTCTATAATATGATACAATGATCACAAATCATAAAATCTTGGTATAAGAATACATAAGATGCATTTTGGCAAAAAAAAAAAAAAACGAATAGCGGCGCGACTAGATATTTACCAGACGTTCTTTTAGAAACCTTTTTGCGAGTTGTAGCAACTAGTCGCCAGAGATCATTGCAAGTCGCAAATCTGCAGTACATAAGCATTAAAACTGAAAGGTTATCAGACATGCAGCGGCCTGTGATGTTATATATTAATAATTTATCTAGTGATAAATCGGATGTTAATTTTTAGGATTTATAAAATGGCACAAGTAGGTATAAAGCTGAAGAACAATTTTTATCACGTGGTGATTTAGAATATTTGAACAAGTAGTGTGAACAAATACTAAAAATGCAGAGTATATGCTGCTTTAAAATTGTGAACTTTAAAAAGGCCGTCACTGTGAATACATATGCAATGTGGGCAAATTTAATTATATTGTGAAATCAGTTCTGAAATGAGGTAAGATATGACAAATTTCTTCTACAATGATCCCAGACAGCAATATGATGATTACGGCATCTTTTGCAACAGGTTTTGGGTGGAATGTCAAAATTTAATATATGGACATAACGAGGTCATCAGTGCCTCTTGTGAAATGGCGTGCACATAAGACGCTTGCTTCGATTTTAATGGCCCCTTCTGGTTGCCATGGTAACAAATGTATGTTTCTTGGTACCAGGCTTTTGCAGCTCCAAGCAGAATAAACTATTTTCTAGATTATAAAAGAATATTAATATTTCATTTATGAATATTCGCTTCTCTTGTCCTCTGGCACACACACAGATTCTTTAATCAGCATTAAGAAGCACTCCTCCCACCACTTTGGCAATTGAGATTAAACAATGGATTCTTAAATAGAAACTACTCAAAATTCAAGAACTTATTTAAACTACTGCACAGAATCCTGTACAATGGATGTTGTTTGAATAACATTTTTGTTTTGAGTTTGCATCTGGGCAAGAATACTTCTTGCAACAATCAATGATAACAAAACAGTAAGCATTCTGAGAGAAATTTATTCATTTCTTTTTATCATCAAGCAATTCACAAATAAATAAGGTAAAAAAAATGATGAGCACATATTCATGGAGGGTTGAAATAAAAAAAAGTTAACTATGAAGGAAACTTTACAATGGCACAAGAGCTTCATGGAAAGTACCCTAAAAATCATTAGCCTAATAAGGAAAGCCGACTACAGTACGGCTAAATTTCAAGTTTGTACAGTGTATTGCCATGGAACTGATAAATAATCACCATACCAAAAAAATCAGTGAAACTCTGTTTTAAGCTTGAAAATATTTGAAAGCTCCTCCCCTTGGAAAAGCCTTTCCAAATTTTAGGACATCTGCATTTCTAGTGACACTTAAAAGGGAAGGGTTAAAATAACAAGTGTGGAAAGTGACCATGAACAGTGGCGGATCCAGAGATGTTTTCTGACAGTCTTCCAAATTATCTTTATTGATCCATCCTCCATTTTTGACCGTTTTCCTACAGAAAAAATTATATAAGCGTCAACGTAAACTTGAAAATCTGACCGTCTCCTGGAAGACCCAGAAGATGGCCTAAATCCACCCCAGATAAAACAGTTGTGGTTTAGGACAATTTTGAAAAAAATATTTAAGCTAAACTCTTGAAGTGGTACAAGAGCACCAGGTCAAACACTGGCCAGCCTCCTCACTGGGATTGTGGCATGCACCAGCAAGTCTCACAGAGTGTTGCCACACCAATCACAAATGCTCATTTTTATGGTACCATACATAGACATATGGGACAGTTCAAACAGCCATCTAACATACATTTGAAGTGCGGTGCTGATGTTCAGACATGAAAAGCAGGCATGCACGGAATTTTAAAAATGAAGAAGTTGGCTGGAACTCAGCAATGTCTCAAACATCCATAAACCTCTGTAATTTCTGACATAACACGTATGGGTGTCCCAGTTTCACAATCGGTAACATAGATCTTGCAGTCACCTGCACTGCCAGTAGCAATCAGATCCCACTACAACATACATGAGCAGTTGAGAGAAGCATAGACTGTCTAACTCAGTTTGCCAACTACTGCCTAAACATATATATATATATATATATATGGTTTTATGACAGTTCCATACCAGTCCATTAACATCTAGGTCCATTACATTTTCTCTAATGACATCTACTCTGATGAAATGTCTCAACCCAAGATAGTCATTAGCTAATGTGTTAACCTCTTTGTACTTAGTGTAAAACAACCTTGAACTATATCTGTACCAAAATGATGACTTTTTTTGCTCAGTTGTGCACATCATGAGCATTTATAAATAAAAAATGGTGGTGACTTGCATCTTACACTCTGACACAATCTAAATAATCTTAAATAAATCAAGCAAGTTGTCATCCCTAATCACATATATCATAATCAAGATCCATTAATGGCTATGAAAAAAGCTGAAAGTCAAAAAACCAAAGGTAGAATTGATCTTTCTCTGATGGGTTTCGGCTTCCCATAATTTATGAAAAAAGACATAATTCGTGTTTCTGAACAACCAATGAAAATCTAATGGAGGCATCTTTTAAAAATAGACAAAGAGTGTATGTCTGACTGCAAAAAGCATTTATGTAAACAAGTGATCTTTGCCGGCTGAATCTGAATAAACAATGGGTCTACTTTGACCACTGAGGGTGATGAACATGCACTAATTAACACAGAGTTTTTCTTTTGATGTAAAACTGCTTAGGAAGCATGCACTGCACCTCAGTTACAAGGCTTGGAAGAGCAGCATCAAGGTAGAGAATTAATAAATTCTGAATAATATTTTGCACAACAGTACGTAGAAGCAATCCAACTTGTTTTCAGTGTAATTCAAATGTTAGTTATGAGGGGAAATTCTCTCCACTTGAGATTTTACCCATATAGCTAAAATCTTGACAATCTAGTTTTGTATGACAACATGTACAGCCATGAGTCTTGATTTGAGTGGTCAGTATATAATTATCACTAACACACCTTTAGTTCAAAGACATTTTTCATTATTATTATTATTTTTTGAAGTTAAGTGACCTTTTTTACACCAGAAAGTTACTTTCTTTACAATCTAATTTGTAAAAGAAATATAAATTACCATATGAAGGTAAGTATTGTGACCTTAGATTTTTTTGTACCTAGACACATATGATATATTTAATTTAGAAGTGCAAATACTCAGTAGTCCATTATAGCATATAAGGTTATATCCAATGAGTGCACACATTAAATGACTGGTAGTGCCCAGCAAGTGACATTCCTGTCTGCACTGGTGCTGACAAATGCTAGCTGTGATGGATGCCATCTGCACTGTATCACCTTGTCCTTGTGTTCTGCCACAGCCACAGAGGGGAGCGGCTGCAGGAGATCACCTGGGTAGAAAACAAACAAAAACAGGACCATCAGCATGGAAAACTACTTACAACACTGTCTGTATGAAACATCTTTATGAAACAAGCACCATTATGCATCAACTTGAGCAACTTTAGGCATTCTATTAGTTAAAGTAGAGTTGAGAGTGACCTGACATAAAATATTACACTTTAACATCACCTTGGTCTTGTCAATGAAGTAAACTTCAGGTGCAGTTGAGACTAAAGCAACATGGTTAAATGACAAAATACTCACATAACAAACAGAGCCTTTAAAACCTTTAACTAAACCAATTAATGCTTTATCAATGAAATAGTTTTTTTTCTCTTATGTGAACATAATGCTTTCATTCACCTCTCAGATCTGTCAACATAATCTTCTGGTCATAGGAGCCTGTCAGGAGGTAGTAAGCATTCATGTGATCAAACCTTGCAGTTCGCACCTCTCCCACATGAGGTTTAAATGTCTGCACCATCCTAGCACCTCGCACATCATACATCATTACTGTGGAGTCCTCGTGTCCTGATGCCATGAGACGCCCTGTACCCTCCACACAGACAGAGGCAAATGCACTCCCTGGGCTAGGAGACTGAACTATACTGATGGGAGAGGACATTCTGAGGTCCCAGAACCGAGCTGTTTTATCCTGTGAACCACTGACAAACATGTAGCCTACACCCCATGTGTGGAGAGAGTAGATATGACCTGGAAATAAAAATGGAAAGAACATCAAACCTATAGTAAATAATGGAATGTAAAACGCATATTTTTAAAAGGATGCAAAAGCTACCTATATTTAAGGAGTAGAGTATGGAATGTAATCTTTGTTTTTTCACCAGGTGAAAAGACACAGCACAAATGGGTGCCCCAGTATGACATTCACCTGTGTGTCCAGACATGANGAATTGATTGTCAAATTTACAGATTTCGGGCATGAAATAAAATTTTGGGATTTTTTAGGGGTCAGATGTAAGTTTTCTCTAAATTCAGGCCAGGCTCTCATTATTTAGCAAGCTAATCAATTCTTTGGTCTAATGGTTAGTATCATATTCGTACATTTTCATTTAAACGACCCCGCAGCTTTGATAACTAGTATTATAATTTCTCAAACCAAAGAAAGTAATAAGAAAATAAATACAAGCGGGCGAAGGTTTACTGTATTTGAACCCACAGTGCGGAAAATGATACATTGGAGTGGGGCGCTTTTCTTGATTTCACTGATTAAATATCGTATTAACCGATTTTTCGTAGGGCTAAGAACATCTCTTGTCTGTAAAAAGCTTTTTTTCCGGAATCTGCTACCGTATAACATAAAAACTGCTTTAAAATAATTTAGAAGAGCAATGCTAGTAGAGAATTATATGACTAAAAACGGAAAGAAAAGTATTTCTATTCATCATCATGTTCAGTTGAAGACAACATACGGAAGTAAGAAAATATCATCAAATCTTATAAGACAAAAACAGACATGGCGGCAAATCATTTATTCTGTATTCATACAGTACTACATATCATGTAAACCTACTGTCACACAGGTGCATGTTGAGAACTAGTAACTCTCGGTGTTTTAGAAGCAAATCTTATATTCTTGCGTAATCGTGTTTACCCAATACATTCTTGAACTGGCCTGGTCCCAGGTCTGAATTACAATGCACTTCGTTATGATAACAGATAGGTGCATGAAGGGTACTTAAGGCAAAGTGGTGTCATTGAACAATACATGTAGCAGTAAACAAGTTAATTATTTAATATAAATAATATGCCTTATAACAGTTTATGAACACCCCACAGTCCTACATCAAATAACACTAATTAATGTCATTAATGACTAGCACCCTCATCTTACAAAGATAAAATTGAAACTTAGATAGAAGATAACACAAGTAACCTTGAGAGAATGTCGTTTACGTTTCTACTTTTACTAATTATGACGTAGCGTAAGTCGAAAAAGTAATAGACTAGGATCCCAACAGTAGAATAGCCATTTTGAAAGAATATTTTATCCATTGATCCGACGCGAAGGTCAACTTTCTAAATATGATGTAATCAACATAAATATTTTTCAAAGTAAAGGTGAACTAAAGCCGTGGTATTTCTATAAAATACAATCATTATTAACTTCTACAAAAACATAAGAATTTTTTGCATAGCCTAAGATTTTTATTGAAAGAAAGATAACATTCCAAGTCAAACTATACAGCCAAAAATTGATATCTCAGTTGGACGTTGTTGCTACAGTCTTCGCCATCATTGCATGTTGCAAAATAAGAAAGCATTTAAAGACATTTTTCTGACATCCACAGTCAATTCATCCAACGATATTATCAAAAAAATTACAGGGGTTATGTGTTAAAATATGATGGTTTAAATTATAAGCAATTAAGAGGATTTAAAAATATTCACAACAAACTTCTTCCTTTACTGAAGTTAACCATTCGTCATGTACAGAAGCTTGCATATGAGTCATACTGACTGTACCATCATCATCTATCCTAATTCCTCGTCTGTCACCTTTGTGTACATAATACAACCAATACTGAAAGCATACATCATTTAACCGTGTGCTAATAGAGGAGTCCATATATATATAGATGTATTGTCAAAAATAAGCATATCTTCGTCCGGTATGAGCAAAAACTCACTTCCACCACCTGACACACCCAAAATCATCTGTCGCTTGAATGTTTTCCCCCTTTTCTCCACGTGCTTCATGGATTTGATAACACGAGCATTATTTCTATGAAGGGGTACCCCATTCTCTCCTACATTTTCATTCGGGCTGTGACTGTTAGTATTGTTGAAAGGTATATAAATATATATTTCGTTTTTTGATTCCACTTCTATACACAAATATTCCTTGACATCGTTATACTTTATATTAAGTTCAGTTTTAGGCGAAGTGAAATTATTTCTACCAGGTTCATTATTAGATGTAACATCTGCTGTGATACTGGAGCTACTGCTTTTGACGTTGGGAGAGCTAAAATTTAATGCCTGAAGTGAAATATAGTGGTGTTCTGCGAGATGTCCGAGAATAATCATATTGGGTTGATTGACATCACCATTTTCAGCCGTGGAATGCAAAAACCGGGATGGTTAGGCTTCTTCGCCTAAGCTAGGCACCACCATTAGACCTATATCCACACCGTACAGTGTCGAAGCTGCCTGCAGTACAATATGGCCACCCCAGGATGTTCCTGCCATACCCTGGAGATACCATCCCAGTCATTACCGGGTACGAAGTTACTGTAATTCACCCCATGTGCATTAGTGGGATGTTTGGATAAAAAGTTAACAATTTGTCCTCTCACGTCCCTGTGGGTGTACTTTGTTTTTTCATTAAATTGAGTTGGTGGGCTAAGCAGCGTAAAAAGCAATTTCCATCTTTTGGAGTTTCAGTGACCTCCACTAACCCCATGCTCAGAGCATTTCTTATTTAACAGTTATACATACTTTGCGATACTGGGTCTTGATGTTGTTCTAATAACCTCAGCTCTTTCCAAATGTCTTTTGAGTGATAGTAACATTTATCAAGTCCATGTTGTGGACAGCATCTATCGCACATTTCATTTTAGCAAATTCGTTTTTTTAGCACGACAGTTTCTGTAAAGGCATATGACAGATTCTAGCTTGGCTTTTTTCTGTCGCTGTTGTTCGATATCTCTACTTAATGATGGTTTGCGGTAAACACGGTACCAAACTGGCTTCTCGTTGTCTAACTTTATTTTCTAACGATGGGTTTCATAATCAGCAGAAACAACGGTACATTGCGCCACCCTCGGTGTACAAAAGCCTTGTCCTCCTCTTTGCACTCTTCTGTCTTTTCGTTCCACAGCAAAAAAAAATAATCGCAAAGGTAAAAAAAAATAATTGCAAAGTTGGTATCAATTCTGTGAGAAAAGGCACTCATGGCCACTAGACAATCATTCAACAATCTGTTTACAAAGGTGTACTGTTTTTAGCCAACTCAGTTCATGCCAAAAAAGCTCACCCTCCCTGAGGGAGCTATCCCCCAGGCCAATTGGCGTGTTGTGTTGAAAAAATGACTGTACTTATGGCAAAATGAACCCACAATTTCTGACTTCTGATTGACCAATAAATAACAGTTAAAATGCACCAGAATGCAGTATTATACATACAGTTTTTAAAATTTATCCACACCCTCCCCCCTCGGGGGCTTCGTCCCCTCGTGTCCGCTTACTGCCCCCCCTGGCATTTTGCTCAGGCTACGGCCCTGGTAGCATATCACTGTCCGGAGGCTATCATTTTCTTTAATATCTTAGCTTAAAAATAATACTAACATCAAACTGTTGATATGGTTTTCTGGGGGTGTTTTTTTATTTTGAATGACATCTCATGTCAGGTTTGATATTATTGACCAAAATATCTTACAATAGAAAACTGGATATTTTTATCACTCATCCATATACTTTTTTTGATAAATAAAGCCAAAAATATTAATCTCGCTCAAAAATAACAATGATAAAAAATATTCCATACTTAAAAGTATTAACCCTGTAAGTTTAATTTCTGGATCACTATAGTTCGTGACGTTCCAGTGAGCCTTTCGGAAGTTCATATGTAAAACTCGCGGGAATACACGAATCCATATAAAAATAAGAGCTTATACTAACTTGGAACGGGATAAATTACGCACCATCATGTGAGTGAGTAATGAGCCCCCCACCTCCCCCC